GAAGCAGGCCTGTCCGAGTAAAAACAAACGGCACAAGCCCGAGGAGAAAAAAAAAAAAGCGGGGGGGTTGGGGGGGGCGCAGCCCCCCCCCATTTGGCAAGACAATGTCCGCAACGTGGGTTTGGAATAGATTCGTTTGAAGCAGGCTTGCCCGAGGAAAATAGAAAAGCGGGGGGGTTGGGGGGGGCGCAGCCCCCCCCCATTTGCCAAGACAATGTTTGCATCGTGGGTTTGGAAGGGATTCGTTTGAAGCAGGCCTGCCCGAGGAAAATAGACAAGCGGGGGGGTTCGGGGGGGCGCAGCCCCCCCCCCCATTTGCAAACACAATGCACGCATCATGGGTTTGAAGCGATTCGTTTGAAGCAGGCTTGCCCCCATTTGCCAAGACAATGCCCGCATCGTGGGTTTGGAAGGGATTCGTTCGAAGCAGGCTTGCCCGAGTAAAAAATGGGTTTGAAAGGGATCCTTTTGAAGCAGGCCTGCCCCAGTAAAAACAAACGGCACGAGCCCGAGGAAAATCCCCCCCCCCATTTGCAAACACAATGCACGCATCATGGGTTTGGAAGCGATTCGTTTGAAGCAGGCTTGCCCGAGCATAAAATACAAGCGGGCGGGTTGGGGGGGGCGCAGCCCCCCCCATTTGCCAAGACAATGCCCGCATCGTGGGTTTGGAAGGGATTCGTTTGAAGCAGGCTTGCCCGAGTAAAAAATGGGTTTGGAACGGATTCTTTTGAAGCAGGCCTGTCCGAGTAAAAACAAACGGCACAAGCCCAAGGAGAAAAAAAAAGCGGGGGGGTTGGGGGGGCGCAGCCCCCCCCCATTTGGCCAGACAATGTCCGCATCGTGGGTTTGGTACCTCCCAAACTTTGGGTTGGGTTGGTCGGGTTGGTTGGGTTGGTCGGGTCGATCGGATTGGTCGGGGCGGTCAGGCGGGTCGGGTCCGGTTGGGTTGGTCGGGTTGGTCGGGTCCCTTCGCCCACTTCTGAGGGTCCCTGGCTGCTTGAATTGGGTTGGTCGGGTTGGTTGGGTTGGTCGGGTCGATCGGATTGGTCGGGGCGGTCGGGCGGGTCGGGTCCGGTTGGGTTGGTCGGGTTGGTCGGGTCCATTCGTCCATTTCTGAGGGTCCCTGGCTGCTTGAATTGGGTCGGGTTGGTTGGGTTGGTCGGTTCGATCGGATTGGTCAGGGCGGGTCAGGTCCGGTTGGGTTGGTCGGGTGGGTCGGGTGGGTTGCTTGGTCAAGGGGTCAGGGGCCGGTGGGGTGGGTCGGGTCGTCTTGTTGCTGCGCCACAGGACGGTGCCGATAGCATTCTGCCACGAGGGTACGTCATGGTGGCTGAATGCAATGGTCTACTCTTTCAGTCGCTGCGTTCACTGGTGAGGGTCCCTGGCTGCTTGGGCTGCGTGGGTCGGTTTGGTTGGGTTGGTCGGGTCGATCGGATTGGTCGGGGCGGTCGAGCGGGTCGGATCCGGTTGGGTTGGTCGGGTTGGTCGGGTGGGTTGCTTGGTCGGGGGTCAGGGGCCGGTGGGGTGGGTCGGGTCGTCTTGTTACTGCGCCACAGGACCGTGCCGACAGCATTCTGCCACAAGGGTGCGTCATGGTGACTGAATGCAATGGTCTACTCTTTCGGTCGCCTCGCCCACTTGTGAGGGTCCCTGGCTGCTTGGGTTGGGTTGGTCGGGTTGGTTGGGTTCGTCGGGTCGATCGGATTGGTCGAGGCGGCGGTTGGGTTGGTCGGGCTGGTCGGGTGGGTTGCTTGGTCGGGGGTCAGGGGTCAGTGGGGCGGGTCGGGTCGGCTGGAGTCTGTACTCGCGAGCCTGGTCTCTGAATCCGATGTCTGGTCTCGGAATCTGGGAGCTTGGTCTCTGAATCTGGTCTCCTGCTGGTCTCTGATTCCCCCCTGCTGGTCTCTGATTCGGCCCTGCTGGTCTCGGAATCCCGTGTCTGGTCTCAGAATCTGGCTGCCTGGTCTCTGAATCTGGTCTCCTGCTGGTCTCTGATTCCCCCCTGCTGGTCTCTGATTCGGCCCTGCTGGTCTCGGAATCTGTTCCCCTGATTCGGCCTTCACCCGTATGGTATGCACCTCTCCTGACACATCTTTGCTTCTCACCCTTCTACCTGACCTCTGTTGTCGGGAATGTGGTTGGGATGCACCTTCTTCTGAGCGTCAGCCCACTCACGCAATGCGTGATGTCAATATGGCCCAAGAGGACTCTTCGAGAACTCTTCTGATTCTCTTGAAGCACCTTGAAGCGTAAGTTTGTTCTACAAAGATGTTGTGAGTTAAAGGCTTCGAGGAATGAGGACATCTCGACGAGGTGTGGGCATGCTGAAGGCTTTCAGAGGTTCAAAGATGTTAGAGGCTTGCCTCTTGAGTTTCGAATGCGAAGTTTGTCTTAGCTCCGGCTCCATGTCGCTCACACGCTTTAGTTGGGGCGAGAACACATCCTCAACCCAGCAAGGCCCACTCTGGGACCAAGGTTGTCGTTCTTCTTCTACATGGATGTCATCGGAACTCTCTCACTGATTGTCGAGCTTTCGCCGGTGAAGATTTCGCTGCAGGGGTCTCCTGGCATTGGCTTGTAATGGCTTCGGGATCACCCATGGATCTTCACTTTCGAAGCGACCAGATCTTAAGAGTGCAGCACACCCCAAACCCATGAATGAATGAATGCTTTCAGAAACGGTTGCAAGCTTGAGGGTTAGCTCCCGGAAGCCTGGCATCAGGCCGTGATTCCTCTCGGCTGCATACCAATAGCCGGTGCACTTTTTCGTTCTTGGGCTTTTCCGGGGTTTAGATCCTGTATGGTGACTCTTGGCCGCTTTTGCAAAGAGTTGGGGTGATTGGGGTGTGCCCCTCTCACTGTGACAGCCGGCAACCTTGAGGGTCATTGAGTGCTGCCGCTGTCAGGAATGCGATTACACAGAACTCCGTCGTGATGTGGCTCGGCAGCATGCGACATCTTGCTCCTGATGCTTGATGCTTCATGCTGGAGCAGAGTCGGCACATCTCCCAACCTGCAAAGACTCCAACTACACTAGAGAGGCCGTTCTGCCTTGACAAAAATTCCGACCACCCCAATCACAAGTATCGTTTGCCGTGGCCTGCAGCGAACCTCTGCACCCGAAGTCTAGTTCAGACGAAGTGAAACCTGAAAGCTTTGGCCGTTGCGACCCATGCGACCAGCCATCCCGTTACAGACGCTTTTATAGGTAGGGAGCTGTGGCATTGTGGCATGCACTCTCTGACCTCCTGATACAGGATGTGACTGCAAGGTATGCCCAGGATTGGGATTGTTCGCCCTGGTGAGTTCCGATAGGCTTGAGAAAATCTTTTGGGACAGGCTAGCTTTCAACATTGGCTCAGAAGGGTAAAGAAGGTCATCCAGGAGACCCGAGGGATCACCCTCAAGGCAGAGTAGAGCTGCCTGCTCGATGCACGAGTGCCGCCCTTTTTCCCGTAGGTGTAGGAAAGCTCAGGCAAAGCGCTTTGCGAACACGTGTGTGGTAGATACCAGCCCATCTGCTAGCTTTTCTTTTGTTGGGCATAGTCATGTCACAAGAGTTTCAAGAACTTGGGAATGAGTCTGAGGGCGTTTCCAGGCACGTCTGGTTTGAGGTTTCGCGATTTCCCACCACAAGGCGCGCCACCCGAGCGGCCAAGCTGGGTGCACGTGCGGGGCGTCTGACGAGGCTGGTAAAGCTGCCCTTTGGCTGCATGAGTATGTTCAGCAGTTGCTCAAAGTCTGGGTCCAGGGCTTGAGACCTCAGTTGGCAAACCTTTGCAAACCTTGAGTACAGGCTGGTTGAACAGAGGTAAGTCGTTGCAGCTGTGCGTGCCTAGCTCGGTTCTTGAGATCGAGCTTGAGATTCGGCACTTAAGCTTTTTACTCATTACGATATGGTTAGCGCATTCTTATTGGTGGAAAAGCACTCTTGCCATCCTGTTGGCCTTGGCTGAGCCTGGGTGCTACGGTTTCTCAGCCCTAAACCCGAAACCCAAAACCCCAAAAACCTAAACCCTACACCCTAAACCCGCGTTGGACATCGGTCGGTAAAAGGAAGCGATCGCCCGGGGCAGCCCAACAGTATGACCATATGGTTTAGGGTTGAGGGTGTAGGACCCAGAGTAGGTTCTTGTTCCTTGTTCTTAGTTGGGGTGAGGTTCCCTTCTACCGGGGCCATTCGTCGGCCTTAAGCCTGAACCCCGAGAACCCTACCCGACCCAAACGCCGAAGCACCAGAAGCAGGTTACGCTTCCTTCCCTTCCTGTCCAAGCACGGGGTTTCATGGCCTGGCATTAGCGCACCAGGGAGATGTCGGGCTCCGGTTTGAGGGCTCAACAAGTGGCACCCAAAGTCACGACTATAGAGGGGCCTCCGACGCCTGCAGTAAGCAGCTTTAGATGTACACGACACCCGAAACATGAAGATGTGGGGGGGGGGGGGTGTGTGTCTTCGCACACTGTGTGGTGATTGCACAGAATTTGGCACATCAGAGCCTGAGACGAGTGGGTTCGCCTTCAGTAGCTGGAACACAGAGGGTAGAAATCCCCCAAGTAGGCCCAACCATTGATGTGAACAGAAACGCCCTTTGACTACAACACTGGCACAGTTGCGTGTCGAGCCAGCTCCTGCCCTCGGAGAGAGATGTTTGGTCTAGTGTGCTGTGCCTGTGGGGATTGCACTAAGCCACTGCTGCGATACGGGGAAAAGGTGTATGGGAAAGGCTCTAGAGCTATTCAGCATTGTTTGGATTGTGTTTGGTCATTTAGAGTTGAGGGGGTTTGGCTTCGGATTCAACAACATCGAATCAAACATGGGCCATAGTCTTTCCGGTGAAGACATCGCACCTTGATGCTTCGGCAAGAACTCATGTGAAGCAACAACAACTACGCCATAGGTTGAGGCAGGGCCAGCTAACACCTCACAGCTACCCCTAAACCCTCAACCTTAAACTCTAAACCCTAAACTCTAAACCCTAAACCCTAAACCCTTATGCCATGGGTAGCCGAAACATGAAGCGACCTGAGAAGTTGCCTGAGCTCAGGCACGCGAGCCGGGAAGCACCGCCAAGGCGCGACGAAGCTCATCTCGGGTGTTGGGCCGAATCGGGTTCTGGATGGGTTTTGGCTTCTTTTGTAGGGGCTTGGGGTTTAGGGTTGAGAGGGTTTCAGAATGGCTCCAAGAATGAGGGATCTAGTAAGGCTGGCACTTGGGGAAGTTCAGGTTGAGGAGAAGCATTGCCGCGATGTGTAAGGCTTTGGGATTGCAGATTTGGGGGGGGGGGGGGTTACGAGAATAAGGGACCCTAATGTATACCCCCAAACAGTAGGATTCCCTTAGAATGAGGACCGCGATAAAGGTACCCCTAATTTCGGAAACCGCCATTTGACTTATGAGTTTCGAGTTTCGGGGAGTTCCCTAAACCTTAGACGCTACACCCTAAACTTTAAACGTGCCGGTGTTCTCCCGGCCGTCTGCAGGCAGGTCGTTGTTGTTGCCTTTTCCAAAGCTCATATGGGGGGTTTCCGAAGTTAGGGGTTTCCCCATTGGGGTCCATACTATAATATTATGGGAATCCTACTAGTTGGGGGTCTATTTTAGTAGGGGTCCCTTATTTTCGTAAACCCCCATATCTGTGTCCTCTTCTCGGTGACGGGTCCATTTTGCCCAGGAAGTGGCAAGCGCAAGTAACCGGATGCAACATTAGAGTTCCCTATGGTGCCCGAAAGGTTTCGAAGCGACCAAGCTCCCAGTGCCCGCAGTGGTTAAATCGAAAACGCACACAGGAAAATCGACACTTGCTTTCTGAGGTCTGCCATCCGGACAGTATTCGTAGTCCGTCTACTAGAACTACAAGTAGTTATATCGGATCCTTAAGGGAGGGGGGGGGGGTTCAAGGGGGGTCGGTACCTTGAACCCCCTCCCTTATGAACCCTAGAAAGCAAGCTCGACTCAGGAGCCGTTGCTTGAAGAGCGTTGTGGTTTGCGGCTATGGGCTTGGCTGTCTGGGTCCCAAAGGGTTGAACACAGAGGTCGAATGGAGGCACTTCTCACAGTCTACGTGGAGTTCCAATAGCCCGAGACCCAATTCCGTGAAGACCTTGTAAGGTTGAAGCCTCCTGAACTGCTCCTAAACCCAGGGTTATAAGATACATTAACCATGGAGGTGATCAGCTCCAAGCTCATCTCGCGTGTCTCCTCCACCGTCGCCTGCCTCATCATCCTGTCCGTCCAGGCCAGGAATCCTTGGCCCAGCTTTTTTAAACCCTAAACCCTAAACCCTAAACCCTAAACCCTGAACCCTAAACCCTAAACCCTAAACTTGCTTCAGGTTGGGCACTGGCTCTTAGTTTGACCAAGGGCTCAACTTGCATTGATGTGCTCAGGGCTGCGGAGCTTTTTTTTTTCTCCTCTCTCTCTCTCTCAGTTTTTGGCTTCTAGGATGTGGTGTGGAATCAATTTGAGCGCTCATTTCTTATCGGTCGGAAGGGTTGCGAGAGATCGGGAATGTGGAGTGTCTGCTCGCAAGGCTTTCAGGAAATCAGGGGGTTTAGGGTGAAGTTGGAATTGCTTAGAAGTGCAGCTCGGTACCAGTAGACCGGTAGCAGAACCGTTCGATGGGTCACTTGCGTCCGGCCGCTTCTTGTCACGGAAGCTGGCTGAAACCTTCAACAGAAGACCTTGATGGCCGTCAGCATTTGATCCTGAATGGCCTAGAGGCGTGCGCCCAGGTTCCCTGTAAGGCATACTACAGGGGTCGGATTGATTACTACAACAGTATTCCCTTATGGTCCCGCCAAAACCCTATTCTGATTCTTAAGGCCCCTGCATTAAGTTCTTGCCCAGACCTCGATCCCTCGAGGTGCTGCCTCTGCCGGGCACGTTTTCATACCCTACGCAGGACGTCCTTCAAGAGTTTGGTTAAACGGTCAGACCTTGGCATGCTCCCCCCTCATACTAACAGTCCTGAATCGGAATTATAGTAGGGGGCACTATAATCACTATTAAGGACGCTTAGTTTTAGGGGGGAGCATCCGCAGTTAGACTTCAAGCCCATTGAATGCCCTTGCACCCTACATCCTCCCAACTAAGTCCCGAAACCCTAAACCCTAAACCCTAAACCCTAAACCCTAAACCCTAAACCCTAAACCCCTAAACCCCAATCGGTTCTGCCAGCTGTACCCGAAGCAGAGGTCCATTGAGGTTTCACTCTCGCAGCCGAAGAGCTCATGGCTGACTCCTTGCGAAAATGCACACCCCCCCCCCCCTAAGCACCCCACCCCTTCTCTTCTTTCCGAGAGCCGGGTAATCTCTGCATATCTTAGCCTTCCCCGAAGACGTCCTAAGCCGAAGAATCCCATAGGGCAAGCACTGTTTGAGGACAAAGCTACCCAGCCCTCGTGTACATGTTTCATGAGGCCTCTCACTCTAAAGCTTCGACCCATGTCGGGGGTGGAGGGGGCGGGGTGGCCTTCATCGGCGAGCTTGTGCTGTCGACCAGGACTTTTCCATCCAGATGTGGACGGAACACCTCAGCAGGTCTATAGAGGACACGGGCTCGGGGTCGAGGGATCAGCGCAAAACCAAAACAGCGTAGTTATTAGTATTGTTAATTATGATTACTGTTGTGTTATTATTAGTATGAATATTGTTATTATGACTATTGCTGTACTTCCACTGGCTGGGCTACCTTCGACCGCATTGTCGCTCAGAGTGTATGGCGACTCGCGAAGTTGATGGTGTCAAACACCCCTACTACTTAAGAGGATGGTCTCTTGCGTTTGCCATAGGCGCATGCAATGCGTGCCCGTATCAGCAAGGCCCGAGTTAGCCTCTCCCTTCCTCCCCGAACAACCCCATGATGCCGAACACGAACATTGAAACACCTCTGAGGAGTCAACCGACCCGGAAAAGATTTCTGAGATCGTGAACCAATTCCGAGTTTCTTGTTGGCATTTGGTGTGTGTGTGTGTGTGTGTTTTTTTGTAGGGTCTGCTGGTGGTTCAAGTCGGCCGCACCCACGAGGCCTTCTATGATCGGACGGCCTACAAGCCCTACGTCTTCCTCAACGGCACTCAGGCCAGTGCTTCGATAGCCCAACCTTAAAACCGCAGAGCCCGCAACCGAAGTCCCTGCGCTGATGCTGACCTGCGAGTTTATCTGTTTCAAAGACTTCAGGCTCGAGGAGCCCAGGGCCGAGATTCATTCATTTTTGAGGGCCTTCGGGCTTGAGGGTTGATTGGTTTTTGCCGCGCTTGATGAAAGAGAGAGTAAGTTTTGATAATTTAGAACGGTATCAAAAGGTCGCAACAAAGCCAACGACGCAATACATGGGCAGCCACGGCATCCATCTCGTAAAGTTTGTGTACGAACGTACTTGGACCATTGTTGCCGCACAAAGATACAAAAGGGCAGGCGATCGGGGTTCGAAGGTGCGACTCGTCTTTAAAGATAGTTTTGGATCGCCGATGCATGTGTGAACGAGAGTACTAGGGCTTGCTTTGATGGTCGACGAGTATACAGTGCCAGAGAGATGGCACTTTCTTTCGCGGTTTACGGCACCTAGTTCTGTGGCGGGGTTCACAAATCATGGGTTCTTGTTTCCTTTGATTGTGTATCTGAACCTCTGCTTGGGGTACCCTGGCCCGAGCCAGGAGTCTCCGTTACAGCAACTAATTCCTGCGTCTGTCGTACAAGCCAACCACCCCACTCCGAAAGGCGCCATGGCACCCCTCTGCCGAATTGGCTTCCCCGCCAACGCCCAAACATGGCCATTCTTGAATCAGGTTCTTTGGGAATCACGTGGGCCGCTGCAGCCGGATCGCAGCGTCAGGACTTCGGGGGGTCTAGAGTCCAGAACTTTTTGGAAAGCAATTGCAGCACGCCTTCTCTGCCCTTCGCTACTCTTCAAAGTACGCGTTTTGGTTCGTCTCCTCGGCGCCATCATGAGGTGCTGGACCGCGACACCGTATTTGGATCTCATGTCGGTTGCAAATTCACACAGGAAGCTTCGAAGCCCCCAAACTTGTTGCCTCACTCTTAGGGGTTGGAGACGCTGACGTTCCAGGCATCTGCCTCGGCTCCTGATCTCAAGGTGGCATTTGCTTCCGGGGGGCGGCTTCATCACACAAAAAAAAAAGGTTTGGAGCACGTGAACAATCTGGCCCAGTGCTTCGGGCTAGACCTGGAATCTTGCCGGGCGAAGAAGCCCAACTTGCTAGATGAAAGCGACTCCTTTACCCAGCCTTCAGATTCACTCGACCTCAACAGAAACCTCGCAGACTCAGATCCGGTCCGTATGTTGGTCGTGGTTTCCTTCAATCCTTGACTCAACTTGTGCCTACGCGCATCTACACGCAGCTCCTCCACAAGTTGAAGCTCGAGCCACTTCCAAACACACACATGCGCCAGTGGTTCAGAATCTGGGCTTATCGCCCGTCAGGTTTTGCCAATCAGGGTTTGCCCCGAGATTTCAAGCTTCGGTGAAACACCTGCAGCTTGTTCAGAAGTACTTCCCTTGCTGATGCGATGTGGTGAAAGAAGGGCAGGGGTAAGGGGGAAACGAGGGAGGGAGGGGAGGGTGGAGGAGGCTTGGCAGCAAAAATGCTAAGCATTGCAGATGGTAAAGTTCGTTGATGGAGATTGAGAAGCTTGGCGTGGGTTCCCTTCATACTAGCTGTCCTTCATAGGGATTATCGTCCCCCCTACTATGATCCCTACTACGGACTGTTACAAACAGTCCTCAAGAGGGATCTCTGGTACCCCCCTATGATGATCCCTACTAAGGACTGCCCTCTACGAAGGGCGAACATCTATGATCCCTATTAATCGGAATTATAGTACCCCTTATTATTATGATCCTTGTGAAGCACTTGTTCGTAGAAGGGGGGTAACATCCAAAGGTTCATCCGCCAAAGCCCGGTGCGCAGTCGCACAAGCCCCCTGGAAGGATCCAGGATGGTGCTGTCTCGGTGCTCTTCGACTTCACCACGCAAGAGCTGGCCCCAGATCATTGGGATTCCCACGGTTTAGGGTTTAGGGGTTTGGGTTTCAGGGTTTAGGGACTACATGAGGATAGTCACCCGTCCGGAAATGGGATAGGGTGTTTTGCGCCTGCTCAGGCAGAGTGGCAGATTATGTCGTTACTTCGCAGGACACTCCAAAACATCTTTCAGCCGATGTTCACCTGTGACGGCTAGGTTGACTGCTCTACATGAGCTGTTCCTGACATGGGATAACTTATATATAGCAGGCGTTGCCCGGCTGCCGCGTTTGCACTTGTTCTTTTCCGATTCGAGTCTGCGAAGCCTGCTCAGGTGCAAGTGGAGGCAGCTCTGAACATGAGCATCATCACCATCACCATCATCTTGCCACCTGGCAGCAAGATGCATGGGACAGTCAGGTTTACGGTTTAGGGTTTAGGGTTAAATTTGGAGTGTTCCGTGAAGCGTCCTTGAGCAGCAGGTCGCACGACCAAAACGCAGTGCGCGTTGTATCCAAAGTGCAAAGAGTGGGCATGGACCTTATTCAAACGTAGCATCTCAAAGGTATCTGTCAAGGGCTTCCGCTGCTATGCTGTGCTTGAAATGAGGATGCTGCTTTTCTCGCTCCTGATCTCTCGAGCTATCGCCCGGCACGCGCTCGCGCCACTGGAGACAATGCTTCTGAAAGTCAGGACAGAACTCGTTGAGGCATCTCAGAGTCTAGGTAGCGAAGCAACGAAACATAGAGAGGCTGATTGTGTCGGAGGTCCTGACGTCTGAAAGGGGATGTTGGTGCACTCAAGGCACCACCTTTTCCACTGGACTGCGATGCGTGAGGATGTACCACAACAAAGCCAGCAAAGCTCATGCCTTCAGGATGCTTTATTGGGCCAGCCATGCTGCGGACCCAAACATTTCAATGAACATGATCCTCCCACCATGAGTGTCTTAAGCTTGAGCCCCCATGCAAGACTCTGCACTGAATTTTACTGACGCCTGAACTCTCCTTACCCTAGCTTCCATATGCGCAAGCCCAAGCTTATCTGTCCACGTCAAGACGTACCGCAAGCCCAGAGGTGTCCTTCTATCCTATGCCAGAAGCATTCAGACAAGACATCTTCTCTTTGTGCAGGAAAATTGGCCGGCTGATCTGGCTGCAAGTGGAGTCCATCCACACGCTGCTCAGTACCCCGGGTGCAAACTGCAATCCCCCCACCCCACCCTCCCCTCAGCCGCCCCTTTCTGCAATCTGGCAAGAACTCGCAAGCTACGGTCACTGTGTACTATGATGCCCCAACCTCGCTTTCCCAGAATCTTGTCCCCTGCGCCCCGAGACCCTGTCACCACTAGTTGCGCTCTCGTATGTTGTGCCGTGCATTCTAAATCCCTGGGCCCTTGTTTCTGCAGCTTTCAGGGTCCAGGCTTCAGCTCTGAATGGGCACCTAAACCCTAAACCCTAAACCCTAAACCCTAGACCCCATTGAGGCAACTCGAAACAGAACCAGAACAAGAACGATGAGAAAGAGGAGGGAGACGAAACAGCAGCCTGGCGCCAGCAGCCTTTGGGTTACCATGCTGGGAGGCTGAGCTGAGAAGTCATAGTCGAGTCGGGAACTAGAAGGATCACCTAAGGGTTTAGGGTTTAGGGTTTAGGGTTTAGGGTTTAGGGTTTAGGGTTTAGGAGGATAAGGTTCTAGAGCAGTCGAACGCTCACACAAAAACTCGTGAACAGTGAGGATAGCACCTGAAAAGTCTCGAAGATGCCGCTTCCTTCCAGGGAGCGCCACTGCGCTTGCGTTACCTGCGTTACCTTCGTTACCTCCTTTGTGTTCCCTTTCCCTGGGCCTGAGGGGCCATCAACAAGCCTTTGCTGGGCCCGAGACGGGGAAGCCCGGGTGAAGGTGAGCGACATCAATGCTCTAAATGCCCCTAAATGCCCCCAAATACCCCTAAATGCTCTAAACCCCTAAATACCCCTTAGATGCCTCCCCCTTAATGCGCTAAATGCCCTAAACATCATCAATGCTTCTCGCAGTTACATTTGGGAAACTAGGCCCCCAACTAGATTAGAATACCCCGGTACCTCTATTTTCGGAGCCCCCCCCCCCAATGGTAAGGTGCTGTTGAAGGAGGTGCTGGGCAGGATCTCCCTCCTCAGCGCGTTAAAGCCACTTGGCTTGCACCGGGGGTTTCCGACATTAGGGGTACCTCATTGGGGTCCTTGTTGTAGGGGAATCCTACTATTTCGGGGATCTATATTTGGGATGCCTCATTTTCGTAAACCCCCTGGTTCTGGAGATGTGACGTAGTCTTGTTGTAGCTGTTTCCTCGTAGTTCTGGTTCGCACATCCGCCACAAGAAGGAACTGGTCGTACTAAGATGTACTAAGTGTCACGGGGCATCATCGTTTCAGCGAAGTTCCCGTGACTTTAAGCATTCGCTATGTAGAGATTTAAATGCCACCTTGTTTTTATAAACGAAGGTCTCCAGCGCAAACCCTACGCAAGTCAACAGAGATAGTTTTTTCCAAGGTAGGCAGCTAATGGCAGCTAGTGCTGGAAAGAATCGGAATTAGCTGGTATGTTCTCGAGGGAGCGCCTTAACACGAAGGAATTGCAGCATCCAACGGTGCAAGAGGATTTCGACAGCTAATTTTTCAAATGGAGCCGAGGGTCCAAACGGCAAGAAGAAGTCCCGGAAGCCTTTTACCCTAAGCCCTACACCCTAAACCCTAAACCCTTAACCCTAAACCCTAAACCCCTTTCCCCTACCTGGGCTTCGCCCACTGCTTTCAGGCTCATCCGCCCAGACGAGGATGCCCAGGCTGGACGTTTCGAGTCAGGTTGACCCCCTGGTAGTAGAGGAGGTAACCTTTAACCCTTTTGGGGTAGTATAATCCCCTTATAATCCCAAAGGTTATTGAGTTCCCCCGGGTTACTGGACAACTAAGCTATGTTAGGTGCCCAAGGCGAGTTCTTCTTCCCGCGTCCTGCCGAAACGGCCGGAGCCGAAAGTGTAGCAAGCTGTTGAACCCAAAGGATCTCCGATACTTGCTAAACAGCACGCACTCAATTCCCTAAACTAGCTAGACACCTCTGAGCCCAAACACCCCAAACACCGAGAGAACTCGCAGGCCCCAGCGCCCGCCACAATCTTGGGACTCAAAACCACCGGAGGTCCCCCCGCACAAGTAGCAGGCGTCCAGCTCACATATAAAGGTCCGCTCGACTTCAATGTAGGGTCCAGGATGCCGGGTGTAGGACGCAGGGCTTCCAGGGTTGAGGGTTTCAGGAGTTTTTCAGGATATGTGGTTGAAAGCGAGGGGTTCAAAGCTTTGGCCCTTCAGTAGGCTTTTCATCACAGGCCGTCGTCTTCCTCGGCACCGGCGTCGCTTCTGAGACTGTGAGGCCGAGCAACACGCTGACGATGCAGCATAGGCGCCTCGCTGGCACATGTGGGACTTCGGGTTTCTTTGAATAGGACAGGATTGACAGGTCTTCTACGGAGCAGTGAGGGATAAGCGAGTGGTGGTGTTTCGGGCAAGAAGTTCGGTTCTAAGATGAACAGGGCCTTTCCTCACCCTCTTGGCTTATTTCTTGCCTAGGGCTTAGATCACAGCGCTCCAACGCTTTCGTCCTCAGCCCTATACTCGTATCTACAGTGACTATGATCAAAGAAATGAGAATCCCTATGTTGCCCTTTCCAAGGGGGATGTTTTGTGTGTGTGTGTGTGTGTGTGTTTTGTTTTTTTTTTTTTTTGGGGGGGGGGGCCTCTTAAGCAATTAGCAGATTGGGTCTGAGGGTTGTTCCGCCCACTCAGGGAGATGATCCAATCGCGCCTGCAGACCGTCGTCCACGAAGACTTATCCGACCTAGAGGCCGTCTGAGGTTTAGGGCTTAGGGTTTAGGGTTTAGGGTTTAGGGTTTAGGGTTTGGAGGGGGGGGGGCTTTCCGAGCGGCCTTTTTCGGGACTCTGAGAAGGACGACTGATCGAATGAGTCGCATGATGCTGTTGTTCGGATTAATCTTGCGCCCGGATCGTGTTTTCGACGAATCCGTTCTCTGTTGAGGTCGGATGTGTTCAACAAAGTTTGGGTTAGGCTTCCGGCAGCGTGGGGAAGTGATCCCAGCATTGCTGTTTGACAGGTCGAAAACTTGACAAGCTGGAGGCCACACGCATGGCTTGCGTGGGTTCGCGCTTAGCATCTCTGAGAGGGAATGGAGCGTCAGGGCATGCCAGAACTTGCTGCTCCTTTAGAGTTTAGGGTTTTGGGTTTAGGGTTTAGGGTTTAGGGTTTCGGGTTTAGGGACCTGCCGACTGTGAAACGTACACTAGTGTTGTCGGCTTTCAGGTTGGTAGCCTCATAGTCCTAAGCCTCCGCTGCAACCTGCGTCCAACAATCCCGCAGAAACCTGCAGTGACCTGCACGCCCGCAAAACCCCACGATCCCATGGCCGGAAATCTATCATATAGGGGTCGGAAGAATTGCGAGTAGTATTCCCAAAATGGTCAATTTGTAATGATACTAATGATAAACCCCCCAAACCCTATTCTAATTATTCAGGCCCCTCAAGGGCTCGTGATGCAGGTTCAATCCTTTGGACTTAGAGACAACGACGACCTGCTTTGCTGCTTTGCACGCAGAGTTGGCTCCTAGGGTCCTAAGCTCCTTGGGTCCTATAGGGTGCTCGGGTTCAGGGCCTAAACGCGGCTTGGGCCTCGCTGTTGTAGGTGTCATTACTTGTGCGGCTGCTGCTTGGGTCGTCTTTGCTGGAGAGAGTGTCGGTCTCAGTTCAGTGTTCAGGGCTTCGGTCCTGTGAGCTGAGATGCGGCTATAGTGACCTGCAGGCACTTGCTGGCACTTGCAGGCACTTGTCCCTTTGCAGGCGGCTTTTCCGGCGTGTGTCTACATGCGCGCGCATTCTCAACCCCAGACGACCCTAAGCCTGAAAGACCTTTGATGCGACAGCTATGCAGTGCAAGTCAGGTTTGCGCAAAGCTGCTATCGACCTACATGCCAAGCGCCATCAAAGCAAATGGCGTCACTGAGACTGCCAGCGGCCCAGCAGGGTGTGATAGAACCGGGCTTGATAAGGGGCGCTGGCGCGGGGCGTACTCAGGCTATAGGTTTGGGGACGCAAGGGTTCAGCCTTTTTCCAAGCTAAACCCTCCACTCAAAATGCCTGGAGTCAAAGCCTACGAAATGGAAGCGTTGCGATTTCCTGACCCAAGCTTCCAAGGAAGCATGTTGGTGTTCAACCCTCCGAAGACATTGCACATGTATCTTTGTGATTGATGTGCTGGAAGCTATCACAAGTTTCAGGAAGCGAGACCTCCCTTCACCCCTACTTTCTTGGAAGATCTCGCACTTCCTCAAGTTTTATTGAAGTGTGGAATCCCCTCTGTGCTGTGACACATACCCGTGTCAACCTGAGATAGACAACAGCCGCCACATGCTCCCTTGTGTAGTTTTGTCTTGAAAGAAAGAATTATCCAAAGAGTCGCCGTTTTGCCTTGAAAAAATGTCCAAAGAGTCGAACTTCACGAATAAGAAAAATCGGATCTCGGTTTCGCTGCCCTTCGCTCCCTCAAGTCCGGTCTTGTCTGCCACTCTGAGTCCAAACTTTCAACTCTGAGTGCCCCAGAACTCCAACACCGACACAATCAAATCACTCAAATCTAAACCCTAAACCCTAAACCCTAAACCCTAAACCCTAAACCCTAAACCCTAAACCCTTAGCAGGAAATCTCAGCCTTCATCGCCACCGTCGAAGAGGGCTACCTCAAGAGCGTTCCGTTTCTGGGATTGAAATCCGCGATTGTGACACAAGGTACCAGTCAGGGAAGCAGGACACAAGTAGAGGGGCTCCGTGCAGGATTCAGGCTTACATGTGTATCTTAGCGCTCTGTGTGTCCAAGCTGTTGAGACTTCCTCGTTTCTAGACCTGATGGTTGAGGCCTTTTGGTTCAGGGCGCACGTGGATGCTTGCTGTAAGACCCTGTCTACCGTTCTTTTTTTGGAAGTTTGAACTTACAATGTAGGATTTGGTCTTGCATATGGCTCATGATTTTGGGTCCTGGCAGACGACGCCGCTGAAATGAAGTGGGTGTCTTCGGTACTCCTTGAAGAAGGCTTGCGTGGGACGTGGTGCTGACGGGCATTCTCGGAATGTCGGAGACACGTACAAATTCATCCAAGAGCCAAGCCGAACCAAAGAAGGACGAAAATGAATCTTGACGTTCGGCCTACGGCCAAGCCGCAACCCAAGCCAAACCCCAAACCAAACTCAAAACCAAACCCCAAGCCAACCCCAAGCCAAGCCAGCAATAAAACCATCCATCTCCAGCAAAGCTCCGAGCCAAGCCAAGCCTAAGGAGCAAAAGCCCCCCCCCCCCCCCCCCGAGCCAAGCCATGCCCGCCAAGTACAAACGTCAAGCCGCACCTAAGAAGTTTAGGGTTTAGGGTTTAGGGTTTCGGGATTAGGGATTAGGGTTTGGATTCAGGAGGGCTGATGGATGCTCGTAGGGCTCGAACCTTGGACAGGAGTGTCCTTGTCGTGGACACCTCCCCAACATGGTTGACAAGTGGTAGTGACAGAATGCGGTCTTCTGCGGTTTCTGCACTTTCGTACCCTGAAGCCAATGGAATCCCTGCAGCTGGATATAATGATATAGCCTTGATCTCAGAGATGCCGCCACAAGGTACCACAACTGGAGCCACGCAGTGGACGTGATGCACTCAGCCGCGCAGACTGCAATATGAAGAAAGCATTCGCAGTCGGGGGCCATTTCGGACCCTTCGAATAATCTCATAGTCCGACTGTCTTTCTTCGAAACCTCTGGTAGCAGGCCGAGAAGTGTTTGGGGTTCTCCAGTGATTTTGTTTGTGTTTCGTTGTTCAAGGGTCGTTGTGGGGGTGGGTGGGGGGGGGGGGGGGGGGGGGGGGGGGGGGGGGGGGGGGGGGGCAGGGGGAGTACGGCCCATTGCTTATGCCTGCCTCTTACTGGGAACCCGGCTCGCAGAGCAACCTTTAATCATGAAGATTTATTCCCCTTTACTTCTTTCTTTGGCTGAGAGGAGACTCCCCGGATCACAGGCTATGGGAAAGGGGGTGTCCAGATTGCACGCGATAAAATGCTAGAGCAGCCGTCGTCAAACATGCTGTTTTGGAAGATTGCTTGGCCGAATATTCGAGCTTTACGTTAGGGAGCAAGGAACCTTCCTCGCTGAATGACAGCACGAACAATCTTCCAACGGTCTGCATGCTGTCCTAAAGCCCTATTACCCTGTAGCTATCAATCCAGGATTCTAGCTCCTCAAGCCTAAACCCTACATTGTAAGCCTAAACCCTAAACCCGCAACCCTGAGCCCTAAAATCCTCCGGCAGCCATCGAGGCCTACGTGCTGTTGCAAGATCTCCGCGAGGCGTTCTCACGGACTGAGAGGTGGGCCGGCTCTGGCTTAGGGCGTAGGGTTTAGGGTTTAGGGGGTGCTGTGAGTTTGCTTGTCACAGTACTCTCACCGCATATACTTGAGACCCTTCTAAGCTAGAAAGACACTTCTGAGCCTGGTACCACGGACAAGGGATAATGTCTGAGAGATTGAGCTTTAGGTGGACCGGAGCTCTGGGTGTTTACGAAAGTAGGGGTACCTTCTTGGGGTCCTTGTTGCAAGGGAATCTTACTATTTGGGGGTCTATGTCCCGCCCCCCTATTGTCGTACATCCCCATCTTGGCTGAGCCTGATAGGAGGCGATGTGTGCTGGGCTGGTGCAGTAGTCCCGGACAGTTAGGCTCTTCTCGGTGCAGTGGGGGGGTTGATGATCTAAGTTTGTCTAAGACCACTTCAGAAGATCCTCTGCTTAAGAATGCTAAAAATCACGCTGTACTTCAACTTTCTACGACGAAGCAACACCCCATTGGACCTCAAAGCATCAATCAACCAAGAAGAAGCGTCCTTAAGCTTCTGAATCCCAGGCCTAAACCCTAAACCCTAAACCCTAAACCCTAAACCCTAAACCCTAAACCCTAAACCCTAAACCCTAAACCCTAAACCCTAAACCCTAAACCCTAAACCCTAAACCCTAAACCCTAAACCCTAAACCCTAAACCCTAACCCTAAACTCTAAACCCTGAACCGCATCCCAGACGGTCAAGGTATGCGTTGCTCATTTGTGCCGTGGTTCATGACATCCAGCACCCGGGTGTCAGCAATGAGCGCCTAGACGGCACACGCAGGTTCACCCAAAAAACCCCCAACCCTGAACCCTAAACCCTAAGCCCTAAACCCTAAACCCTCAAAGCGCCTAACTGTCGAGCGAATCCGCAGACAAGCCCTAAACCCTAAACCCTAATGACTGCACCTGGTCTGGGCGTTGCGACTTGCTGTAGGTCACGGTTGGTGGTTAAGCGCGGGCTTGGGTTTGTGATTCGTTCAAGGTAATTGCAAGCTGTGCCCATGCAAGAATCTTTTGTCAGGTAGACTGCGTACATCTAGACGGACAGAGCGTGAGAGCGCACGCCCGCCATACCAAAAGTCTCGTTTGACTTACTCGGGGAGGGCCCATGCTTTCCTTAGGATCCCTAAGAGGGTGCGGACTTAGTCATGTAGTCTTCTGCGTGTCAAGGTTCCTGGTCCAGACACACCACGACCTGGCCATGAGATACAATGACAATGCGCCTCTGGAAAGCATGCACTGCGCGAGGCTTTTCGACGCCTGTTTGCACGGGGTTTAGGGTTTAGGGTTTAGGGTCCAGAGTTTGAGTTTGAGATTCGTGGCGCAAAGTATACATGTTTGTTTGTCTAGGGCTGGGCTCATCCGAACTTTCCAATGGCCCAGAGAAGGTGCTGCGTTTGGTGGACAGCGGGGGGGGACAAGATATCCTGCCCAAAAACCCTAGAAGCAGGTCCAATAGTGAGAGTTTTGTGGTTGCCCCTGTGTTTGGATACCTCTTCTTTAAACATAGCCCGCGATACAGCCGTGACTAGCGATCACGCGCTAGTCACGTGATCGCTAATCACGGCTGTATCACGGGCTATGTCAACTGATAGTTTTTTAGAGGTAACCAGCGTGCGGGGGTTCTCTTTATCCGACATCCCAGGCTGACAACCGAACCTCATGCAACCGACAACTTGCTTTAGACAGTGCAGGATCTGAGACGTTTCAGTTAGCCCTAGTAGTAGAGTAGGTAATCTTTAACCTTTTTGGGCTAGTATAATCCCCTTATAATCCCAAAGGTTAACCTTGAGTTCCCCCAGGTTACTGGACAACTAAGTAGCGTTCTGTGGCTGTGAAATTCGAGGAGATATTGGCGGACCCGAGCACCAACGTTTGGGGAGTTCTGGAAGATGGCCCGCGGAAGGATATCCGCAAGATGTGCATCGAGGCCCCACAGACCTAGTACCATTGGCTTTGGGTTTAGGGTTTAGGGTTGAGGGTTTAGGGTTTAGGGTTTAGAGCTATATGCTGCAGGTGTGTAGGCGATCGAGGCAAGGTCGACGTGGAGAATACCTGTCGTCCGAACTCTTGATTTTGAGGGCTTGGGGATTCTCGTGAGGCTTCAGGGCCGTCAGCGTGCAGCTGAAGAGCACAGACCAGGTTGATTGAATCGTATTAACCGATTTAAGAGCTCATGTCCCTAAGTTTTTCTTGAAGACAACGGTAGTGACAGAAAGAGAGCAGCCCCTGGGAGGCGATCTTGCACACAGACAACAGCTGCCATTTCAACGTACGCGACAGAGACGACCTTTGTGGGCTTAGCGTAGGGGTTTTAGGGTCTTGTGAGGCTTTGGTTGCAGGATTGAGAAGGCCAGGTGTTTGCATGGATGTGGGCCGAAAGTTCCGAAACTGGGTACTGATCCCTGGCCCAGGGCCTGTGAAGCTGTCGACCTAGTGCCCAAAGTGTAAGGCTGGGTCCCAGGTCCAATTAAAGCCGGCGCAGCAAGTACATGAGTACGCACATACAGCCTACAAACCGGGGGACATCCGGAGGCCCGAAGCCACCCCCTGTGACTGTCAACCCCATGCCTTAACCCGCTTCGTTCCGTTCCGGTTCAGCGTCTTGGGCCCGATCTGAATCTTCATGCACATGGGTCATACCAAAGCTTCGCTCCCGAATTCTGGAAAGACTAGTGAAGTCTACGGCCAAAGCTTCAAGCGCAGACTTAAAATCAAAGAACGAGTTTATGCTGGCTAAGGTCGTCAAGGCTTGTCAGATGATACATGAAGTCCACGACGAGGTCTTCTCCAACGTCCTGTCCACGTCTCTCGGAGCTGAGATTTGGCCATTCTGGGCTTGGAGTGCTTATGCCCCAGGGTTTTTTGCTTCCGTGATCCGGATATTGCTCTGTGGTACGGGGGGTTATGACCTGCTCCAAGTTCCCGAGGTAGACGAGACATGTGGTAGCATCAGAGGCATCACATCCCGGCACTACTGCTGTGACCCAGCAGCCAGCACATACTATTCTCGTAGATATTTCATATCCCGCTGCTCCAGCAACTGGGTATCGTGCAAGCGGCTTTCTTGAACCTATGAGATATAACGAGGTACCATGACTGCTAGGCGTTGAGGCTTCGGCTTTGTAAGGTCTTGGCATCATGTCTTGGCTATTGAGGTTACCGCAGATTCGGATACATACGGCTTAGAGTTCTTGAATGGATATGGCAACACACTTGCTGAACACTTTGCTTCAATGATGTCTGAGTTTTGTGTCCTCCTTACCTGAAGCGCGAAGCCTCGGGAATCTACATTCGAAGCTCTCAGATATCAAAACATGTGTACCCTTCGCTTGCTATGGCCCCGCCCAGCACCCAACGTATTTCAAAGGCTGTGACCTGAGGACACGTTCGCAGATCCCAAGTCAAATTGCAGCAGAACATTAGTTCACACAGTTTCAGCCCTGTGCTGAGGCACGGCTCCGTTGAGGATCATAAGGCCAAAAGGGGGGGGCTTCGGGATTTGAAAGGTGGCTTGAAGGGAAGGGGCATGGCATTTTGGGTTCAGGGGTCTCTTGCGTGTTGTCTACGAGCTACTTCTCAAGTCGTTGTCATGATATCATGGATATCGCGTGAGAACTTCGAGTTCGGGTTTCTGCGAATGCATGATGCAAGAGCACCCACCTGAACAGCACTGTCAGCAACATAGCGCCCGCAACCTATATCCCGCAAGAGTACAATCGTATCCGCACGCCGAGCCCCTCAACTCTGCTTTGCAGAAAAGCATGGTATACATATAATAGTAAAGCAATATAATATAGTAGAATCTAATCTAACATAATATAATATAATATAATATCACATAACATATATATAATAATAATAATAATAATAATAATATACTAATAACTAATAAGAATAATAATAATAATAATAATAATTAATAATTAATAATAATAATAATAATAATAATAATAATAATAATAATAATAATAATAATAATAATAATAATAATAATAATAATAATAATAATAATAATAATAATAATAATAATAATAATAATAATAATAATAATAATAATACAACATAATAAAATGAAACATAATATAATATAATGGAATGATCTATTATGATATATATGTATATATGTCCAAACACGAACTTCAGGACTCACCAAAGTTTTCCAGTTTGCTCCGCCGCGCTTCCAGGAGTCCTGGCCTTCGCCGGAAGTCTTGGAGATCTTAGGGGAGAAGGAGACCCACGACACCCTCAGGCTCGGAAGATCTCTTTCCTTGCTTTTCCATACCTTCGACAGAAAGGTTGCCAGCCCCCCCCCCCCCCTTAACAAACGGAATTAGGGGCGGCAGGGAGGTACTGGAATTCTGTTTGTGGAGTCGGCCCTTTATTATCCCCTTTGTATAAAACGAGTATACATCCCAAAAAGACATGCCAAAAAGACATGTTCCTGTAAGGGGGTCGATGTCCTGGCAGAATGAAGCAGGCGGCATCCCTGGTCCCACAAGCCCGGAACCGCACACGCACCGAAACTCCAGACCTCAGACCTACAGCCTTGAAACGGACTTGTGTGCTCGGTACTCCGATGAATCCCTTCCCCCTAATACTAAAACCTCCCCCCCCCCCCCCCCCCCCCCCCAATTCCAAAATTCACCTCGGCCGGAAAAGTATTTAAAACTAGGGGGGCCTAAACCCTATAAAGCCTGAAATCTGAAGGGTTTGGGGTTCAGGGTTCAGGGTTCAGTTAGGGTTGCCTTCAGCCATAAACCTCAATTAAACCCTCTGAGCCTCGAGTTCTAAACCCTGAAAACCCTCTGAGCCTTAAGCCCTAAACCTTCATTGAAAACCCTAATGGCTCAACTCCCCCCCTAATTCTCAAACAGGTTTAGTATTGGGCTAGGTGCCGCGGGGTCCGGGAAAAATCTGGAAAATTCGGGTGGGGTTTAGTATCAGGGGGAAGGGTATATTGCTTGTAGCCTTGCAGCTCTTAGTGTCTCCAGGCCGTTAATATCTTGAGGTGCCAGGGGCCCAGTTTCCAAAGAACGCCCCAGGAACATGCTGCTCCACTTCGCAGACATATCCAACTCTATGAAGCCGTTCGCAGTGGCCAGCTGCTCGCCTGAACCTTTAGGGTTTAGGGTTTAGGGTTTAGGGTTTAGGGTTTAGGGTTGTGGTTTAGTTTTTGTGGGCTGTGAGGCTCTACGCGATGCGACTCATAGGGTAGGCATTCAGCATTTGTGGGTTTGAGGGGATTGCCGTCTGCGGCCCGAGATCGGTCCCTCAAGCGAGGAAAGTTTCAGACCACCCCGTTTTGCTCAAAAAGCTCAAGGCCACAAGCCTACAAGCTCATTCCTCCCCGCCCCAAGCTCGGACCCGAATTTTGGGCCCGGGCTGGGCATTCAAGCATCTAGACACATCTTCCCAAAGACCAGAGCCACAACGGACAAACTCACATTTTGTTGAGGTCCTAAACACCTTGACTGAGACCTCAGAAAAGAATGTTGCAGCTTGACGTTCAGGGATCAGGGTATGTTGGGATGTTCCGGCTCATACTAGCAGTCCTTAATAAGGGATTATGGTACCCCCTATTATATCATCCTTATTGAGGACTGTTAGTAAAAAAGGGCGAACATCCCAAGATCAAGGGAACGGTGTTGTGGCGCTTCGTCGGCTTGGGGTTTAGGGTTTAGGGTTTAGGGTTTAGGGTTTAGGGTTTAGGGTTTAGGGTTTAGGGTTTAGGGTTTAGGGCTTAGGCCGGTTCTTCCGAGGACCCTGGGCACTGCTGGTGCTGGAGGAGCCGCTTGCCGAGCCCAGAAGCTGCCCCTATTCAACCTCAACTTCGATGTCCGCAGTCGTTTTTTTTGCTGTAGAAATAAATACATAAATAAACAAATAAGTATATATATATATATATGCATATATATATATATAGATATGTATATGTATATATTTATGTAAATGTATATATATATATATATGTGTATATGTATATATATATATATATATATATATATATATATATATTTTCAGCTGCCCCTATTTTTGGTACTTGGCAAAGAACGCGTTCTTGGGGTTTTGAGACCACGGTTGCCACAGCATCTCCCTAAACCCCAAACCTCTCTCAGACTGAGGACATCAGGGTTATGGCGCAGCCTCCTGATTTCTCAGACTTCCACCTAATCTGCATGCCTCGTTTTGCCATCTTGCTGCTTTAGATGCGTTTTTGCGGATGTCCTGCACATTTAAACCCTAAACCCTAAACCCTAAACCCTAGACCATATTCTTGGACGGTTTTGGTAGCCCTTTGTTGGGTCATGGAGCTCCCTGCAGGGCTGTCGGCTTGCGGAACCCCGAACGTGAATTTTTAATTCTCAGCTTCTGCCAGGTGACGGTTAGAAGACCGTAAGCAGTTAGGGGGCTCCTCAGGCCTCCTTGAGCTTCTGATACTAGGGTGCCAAAGGAGCTCCTTATTGAACCTGTTCAGGATCTTCGTGATCCCGAAACTTCATATGCCCTGTATACTCTCCCTACAGGGGGTGTGCGAATAATAGGAGACCCCTAGCATAGACCCCAAATAGTAGGATTCCCTCGGGGCCTTAGTAAGGTACCCCGAATTTCGGAAGCCACCCCCTAAACCCTAAACCCTAAACCCTAAACCCTAAACCCTAAACCCTAAACCCTAAACCCTAAACCCTAAACCCTAAACCCTATAGAAGCCACATTCCAGAGGTTCTTTGCGCAAGGGGAGAAGATGACAGAGCTTGGACTGCCAGTGCCGGCACTCAACGACCGTCAGAAGACGAACAGCCGCCTGATCTGCACCGAGCCAGAATCTCTCATGCGCCATCCTCAATCCCAAGCTCGACTGCAAGCAGTTCAGTGTTCAGAGTTTAGGGCCCCTAAACCCGAAACCCTACACCCTAAACCGTAAACCCCAAACCCTAAACAGCCGTGGGCCGGAAGCTGTCCTGCGATTTGGATTTGGCGGGCCAGCCTAGCTTGGACATAGATGGGGAAGACCTTCTATACCGTCTATACCGCAGGTTGAGTACTGCTCTTGTGATTGAAAGGTTCCTCTATGGCTCCTGAACTAGGCGTCTTTGGGAGTTCGATGCATACTGGGTCTTGCATGGCCACAGAGGGGTAGAAGAACTCAGAAGGTCTGAAGCGTGGAGTCACAGATGGGTCTGACGAGTCCCCGGATGCTAAGGGCCGACCTCGCAGATTGGGTTCATCGAGTTCATCGTGTCTCCGCTGGTCTTCACGATAGCCGCTCAGCTCAACATGGGGTTGCAACCGTTTCTTTCCCTTTCTCGCCAGATGTGGACGGACCATCTTGCATTGGAATTCCACTGACATGCAAATCCTACCACCAGCGAGTGATTCTGAATGCATTCTGGAGATTGAGCATGAAATTCGCATGGGTTGCGAATGAGAAGGCACCCCAAGCCCTTGACCCAAACACGCCAAGCAACTACCGATTTTCCCAGTCCTACTGTGCGACTTGACCGCTCCCAACACACCTGTGCGCCTATGCAGGGTCTGCGCCCTCCATCAATGTAACCCTAAACCCTAAACCCTAAACCCTAAACCAAGAGATCTTTGTTTCGCGCAGTTTGTGACCTTCGTATGGAGTCAGGGGAGTGGCCACCGAGGTGAAGATACTCCCACCGCTGGGCTACACGGAGCAGGCACGCAATAGCCTGCAGGGATGAGAACTTCCAGTGTGTTATAGTCTGTTTTAATGGACCTTAGGGAGTGTGACGTGCCGGGGGATGTCTTGGGGCCCCTGTCGTAGGGCTTGTCAAAACCCTGGTTCCTACCCTGCCGATGCTTGGGGGGTGCTCCATTCCTTGTCAGAGCCTTCTGCAGCAGACCCATGCGCATATCACCTAAATCCCTACTCTCATCCAGGGCCTCCCAGTGGCTCACTCAATCAGCAAGGCCGTACTTTGAGCTGAACTGATCTAGATGCTTGCTAATTAATTACAATTTGGGATATTCCCCCTTACACTCACAGTCCTTGATAGGGATTATCGTACCCCCCCAATCTTATCCCTATGAAGGACTGTTAGGAGAAGGCGGAACATCCCAAAATTATCATGTTCAGCCTTGAGGCCCGGAGAATTCCTATGTCAGCGCGAAATTTTATCGGGCGTTGTGTGGGCCAGTCTTCCAAGCTCAAAAGCTCCCCACCCTGCACGGCAGCAAGCGAAAGGCAATGTGGGGCAACGTGAAGTCATGGTTCGAAGAGTGGGCATCTACGGCTAATCCTTCCAAAAGCTACTCAGCTGCAAGCTTGAGAAGGAGTTCAGGGTTTAGGGCTTTGGGGTTTCGGGTTTAGGGGGATTGCCCTGCAGCAGTCTAGTGTCCTTAAGCGTGTGTTCCTGGGCCTGGAACATGTTTGAGACTCCCAGGCGAGTTCCAGCAGATGGCTACCCGCATCACGAGCTTGTACGAGAAGGTGACTTTTGCTAAGTAGCTTGGCCGGAAGTGGCCAGCGCAGGCGCGCAGAGCACGACAACGACATGTGTGGCTTATATGGTGCTTCGCGGGAGCTTGGGGGCCGAGCTTACCGTCTTGGAGGGGCTTTCTGCGCCCTGCCCATTCTCGGAAGTCACCCTGAGCCTCGGTTTCGAGGCTATAGGTCATGTGTGTGTGTGTGTGCTTTTCAAATTTGAGGCTTTGTCTTTCTGTGGGAAGGGGCGGTCTGCTCTGTATATCCAGCCATCCTAGGGCCCCAAAGCCATCCCAAGTCCCAGAACCACCCCCCTGGGCCGAGGCAAGGCACCGCCTTCCTGAGACGGTCCAACTCAATCTGAGCTCCTGTTGTCAAAGACGGGGGGGGGGGGGGGTGGCTATGTAGCAGATTACGTTTGTGTATGCGCATTTCGTGTAGGTTTGCGGAAAGAGCGCCGCCTAGGCTACAACCCGGCATGCTGTGGTACAAGAGTAATTCTTCTTCACAGCTCAAATGTAAGCAAGTATCCGTGCATAGCGACAGAAGTATATGTAAATATGCATATGTATATTTGCAGAGAGAGAGAGAGAGAGAGAGAGCAAGAGCAAGATGGGAGATCTCCATACTGCATTGGGCACATGTCTCGCTCCAACGGACCCAGTGACGCACGCCCATCGGGGCGGCCCACTTCGGTTGGGTGCGCGGCAAGCAAGAAAGGACGAGAGAGAGGGAGTCATGTCGAGCAACTCCGTCAGACCTGGCGGGCCATCGTGGCCGGGGCCCCCCCCTCCTGGAAGTTCCTCTCTGCTGTGTTGGAGAGAGTTCAAGAGAGTTCGAGAGAGTTCGAGAGAGGTCGAGAGAGTTCGAGTGAGTTCGAGAGAGTTCGAGAGAGTTCGAGAGAGGTCGAGAGAGGTCGAGTGAGTTCGAGAGAGTTCGAGAGAGGTCGAGAGAGGTCGAGAGAGGTCGAGTGAGTTCGAGAGAGTTCGAGAGAGGTCGAGAGAGTTCGAGTGAGTTCGAGAGAGTTCGAGAGAGTTCGAGAGAGGTCGAGAGAGCGAGAGAGAGCGAGAGAGCGCGAGAAAGAAAGAGATATCAAGAGCGAAAGAGGGCGGTACGGTAGAGAGCGGTGGCTTTTCAGTCTAGGATCTTAGATGGAAGTCGCGGTGACATGTGGCATGTGGGGTACTTTAGGCAAGGTCTTAGCTGAGTTGAGGTCGGTAAGCTGCCGCAGGATTTGCTATGTAAGTGTGGCAGCATGTAGGACATTTGCCTTCAACCCTGAGCCTCTTGCACTTCGCCCTGCAACCTTGAAAGGACCCTGCCGGGTACTTATCAACCAAGTATAACTGCACTTAGCACCCACTTATTACCCACCTATAAGGCCCTTAGGTGCCCTAATGTGGTGATTAGTTGGGTTATAAGTACAGTTAGTGTTGGGTTCATAAGTACCCTGAATTTTCAGGTAGGGCCGCGTAACAGGAGATCCGTGCCAGAGACCGTGACCGAGGGGCAAAAGCAAAGGGGCTCCCCATCTGGCACTGGGTTGGGGACTTCTGGGTTTAGGTAGGGTTTAGGGTTTTAGGGTTTAGGGCTTAGGGTTTTGAATGAGAGTTTCGGGCTGCGGCTCTACACTTATCTGGGCCCGTAGGCAAATCTCCGCATCCAAGTACTTGAGTTACTCAGCAATGCAGCCGGTAGGTCTCTGTGTTGTATTTCCCTTTTTGGGTTCAAGAGGGTCATATTCTAAGGAGGGCTTTGAGGGCCATCTTAGTGCAATGGCATCCATCCCCACACAGTTCAGGGTGTTGAAGGTGGATCTCAGGATCCATGAGACGGGGCTGCCCCTCTCCTCGGGCAGTGGGTCAGCAACACAGCAGCGCCCACCGAGAAGACCTTCGCACAAAGGGGTTTCCATAATGGCAGGTGCTGCAAAAAAATGTCAAAGCCTTGCAATGTTCCGCCCCCTTTAGAGTGTTTCCCCCTTTGCTTTTTCGCCCCGACTAGTCGAAGCTGATGTTGGTCATCTGCAAACGGTTTAAAGGGCGCATTCACGCGGCACCCGGAAGGCTTGACCTGACACAGGGGATCCCACCGGACCCCCCACCCCCCACCCCCCGCCCCAAACGGTCGCACGGTCCTGAATGGCCCGGCAGAGGACTTATTTGACCCCCCCCCCCCAACCAAAGAGAGTGGAACACGAGAGTTCGCTTATAATCTTGTGTGTTACTGGCCCTTGTTCAAATTATTTTGGGGCCCTTCATCTCTGTTCCCTTTGCTTTCGCCATTAAATTCTCAAGTTTACGCACGAAATTTACTAGATTAATTCATGTGCGCGCCCCCTTTAATAATGCTACTTTAAGCCACCACAAGTCTTGAAGAACCTTGGTGGGAGCTGTGTGCAAGCGGTGGAGAGAGAGACGATTACGGCAGCATGTGCAAGCTATGCTGACCGTGCAGTGGAATCTGATGCCACTCTGGTCCTTCACAAAATTATGACTGTTACACGTATATGGGTAGTTTCCCAAAAAAAGGGTCCCTTTGGGGGATCCCTTTTTTAAAGGGAGCCGCCATACAATGGGTACCCTTAGAAGATTGTTCTCTGCGTTTTCCACTGTGCAAAGCTGTACGAGAAATGGGCGGCTTGCCTCCGACGAAGTGACAGCCATCACTACAAGTTGAGACTGCTGCACGTATATTGGGTATATATATATATACACCCATACGTCATATGTATATATATATATATATATATATATATTCATCATTATCTTTATGTATACGGATACTTCTCTAAATCAGGTTCTCTTTTGGGCCCGATTATAACTGCGGCACATAGTGGGTCCGATTTGTTAGTACGGCACCTTAAAATAAGGGCCCCCAAAAGGGACCCTAATGTAGAGAACTACCCATGCGTAGTATGATGAAGCAATTCGGCTGATCAGACGATGTTGAATCGGCAGTTGCGACCTTTTCTGGATCTCCTGAATCCGAAAACTCTCAAGGATGGCGCACGTCGGAGAGAGCTCAGCTGCCTAGTGTAGCACAAAGTAGTCTTCGGGTCCATGAACATGGGACCCGTGGGGAGGCGCGACCTTCTCCAGTACTAACCCTGCTGAGACTTTTCGAACTAGGCATGCCATCGCTTCTGCCGCATGTTCAAAGTTAGCATGAGCTATAGGCTGAGGTTACTGCCTATAGTATATAGGAAATCTTTTGGACCACTTTCAGCTCTTGCAGGTTGAAAGACTCTGGAGCGTCTTAAGCCCCACCACGCCCTGCCAATTCTTGGCTCCTTGGGACCATTCTGGGGAGTACTGTTCCCTACTACGGCATACCCCCGGGTGGAATCTTGGGAAACCTGGACCCGAATTCCAAAGCTTTTGTTGACCTGTTACTGTTGTGGTTGTTGAATCTGAAGCTCGTGTGGCTCGAAGCTGGAAAGAAAGATTTTCACTGTTTGGGACTGACAGAGCAGAAACTAGTGTCCCTTCAGGTGATGTCTGTGTGTGTATGTGTGTGTGTGTGTGTTGCATCTTCAGTTCTCCTGGGCTGCACCTAGATCCCTCGATCCGTGCCCAAGCACATGACCCTAAACCCAAAGCCGTCCTGTATGTCTGCAGGTTTAATCTGGGGAGATCGCGCATCCCGTGTAGCTGCCACGCGATCGGATGACGAGTTGCTGCAGGTACTGTAGTGAGGCAAAGCACCCACCGGCTATGAGTACGGTCTTGGTAGAAGTTTGCCATCAGCGAGTAACTTGCCCCTCCCAGCTTTCAACAACACCAGCAAGTCCAGAATGTTCAGATGCCGCAGCAGCGGTTTTATTGCTAGCAAATGCTGGCGTTGTCGTGGCATAATGCGCCTGTGCAAATCCGATCGCACAGCATCCGTCAATTCCGCGTCTCGCTGAACTGAACTGCGCTCCCGGTGTTCGCACCTGAACGCGAGAGTTGCAAGGGGTTAGATGGCATTTAATTAGGGCTTTGGGTTCCGTGCCCGTTGAGACCTGTGGGCCTATAGGGGTGTTTCCGAACATAGGGTTCGTTTTTTGGGGGTCCCTTTTAAAGGGGATTCTATTCTATTTGGGGCAGAAAAAGGGGTACCACTATTTTGGGAAATACCCATAGAACCAATACCAAATACGTCAGAACTATATAGCAGTCAGTACGTAGGACCTTTAGGGTCTATTTGGCGCTGCGCTTGGCCTCGACCTCAAGGACTTCTGGGATTTTATGTTTTAAGGATATTATGCATTTTAAAATAGAAGAAAATCCTTAAAATCCGTAAAAAATAAAATCCGAGGCGCCGAATTTGGTTTTAGGAGAAGCCCCAAACGATTTAAATTTTTAAAAATCCTTAAAATCCATAAAAAATAAAATCAAAATAAGTTATTTTTTAAGGATTTTAAGGATTTTATTCGATTTTAAAATGCATAAAATCCTTAAAAAGTAAATTCGGCCTCTGATTTTATTTTTTAAGGATTTTATGCATTTTAAAATAGAAGAAAATCCTTAAAATCCGTAAAAAACAAAATCCGAGGCGCCGAATTTGGTTTTAGGAGAAGCCCCAAACGATTTATTTTTTTAAAAATCCTTAAAATCCATAAAAAAATAAAATCAAAATAATTTATTTTTTAAGGATTTTAAGGATTTTATTCGATTTTAAAATGCATAAAATCCTTAAAAAATAAATTCGGCCTCTGATTTTATTTTTTAAGGATTTTATGCATTTCAAAAAAGAAGAAAATCCTTAAAATCCTTAAAAAATAAAATCCGAGGCCGAATTTGGTTTTAGGAGAAGCCCCAAACGATTTAAATTTTTAAACATCCTTAAAATCCATAAAAAATAAAATCAAATTAATTTATTTTTTAAGGATTTTAAGGATTTTATTCGATTTTAAAATGCATAAAATCCTTTAAAAATAAATTCGGCCTCTGATATTATTTTTTTAAGGATTTTATGCATTTTAAAATAGAAGAAAATCCTTAAACTCCTTAAAAAATAAATTATTTTGATTTTATTTT